ACTCTTTCGACTTTTGTGGGATCATATGCATCTGAAGACGACAAAAAAAAAGAAAAAAAAAGAAAACTATTAGTGGTGTGTTCTGAAATTTACCAACCTTTACTACATGTTGCTAGCAAAGGAAATGAGAAAATATTTTCTTAATTTAAAATCAGATTTTAAAAGCCCTCCCATGCTGACTTCTTTTTATAAAAATCAGGTAAAAATTCAATAATTAACAACCTGCAGTTATTCTTTTTACACCATGTCTGTGAATTCAGTGCTGGTGCTAAACTGACAGCTCTGAAGACACACATTTCTACTTGACCCCAATGAATTCCACACTCTCATCTCATTATGCTGTTTTGATTTTGGAGTCATGTCCCTGAAGTTAGATATTGGGAAAAACTTTGTCATGAGGAAGGTAGTAAAGCACTGGAACAGGTTACCCAGAGAGGTTGTGGACTCTCCATCCTTGGAGGTTTTTAAGACATGGCTACATAAAGCCTTGGCTGGGATGATCTAGCTGGGGATGGTCCTGCTTTGAGCAGGGGGTTGGACTTGATGACTTCCTGAGGTCCCTTCCAACCCTAATTTTCTATGCTAATGGAGGACACCAGTATAAAAACTGGGCAGTTGAGATCAGGATCAGCCCTTTACTATGAAAGGAATATTGCTATTTTGCCATTGATTTTCATGGGTTTGAGGTTTGGTCCCCACCCTGAATAGCAAGTGCAAGGGCACTGTACACATGTTTCCTAGCAATGTACCTCAACTGGGACACATAAGGACATTTTAAGGGAGGGAGAATACAGCAATCTTTTCATGACCTATTCGTTCCATAGCTTCTTTTTTTTTTAATAAAATCAAGATTAGATCCTATTCTGTCTACAAGATTCATAAGTGCTATGCAGATGTCCAAGCCCCAGATCCTATTCTGTTTTCTAAATGCATCAGTGGCACTACTACTTATGCAAATTTTAGCTCTTAATCCACCCTGTACAGCAGAGGCAGGGGTGTCTGACATCACCTTGTCCCACTCCATAAAGAATAGGATTGCAGCCAGTCCACTAGGCAGCCAAGAGGGAAAGATACATGTATCTTACCTTATGTAGTCATTAGTTAAAATGCACAAAGAGCTCCAAGAGCTGTGAGTAGGTACCAGAACCCAGCACTTCCAGGGCAGTACCTACCTGACTAGATCACAGTCTGATTTCTTTCTTGTGCCACATCTTTCCCTTTGGCTGCCTGCTGGATTGGCTTAAACAGGACAGCTGGAGGGTGGTCTGAGCAATGCCTAGCCTGTGGCTTTGCTGGGAAGCAGGAGATTTAAGTTCTAATTCCCTCTGGCTAGTGAGGACCTAGATCCCAGCTTTCCCTGTTTTTGGGAAAGTGCCATAACCACTAGGCTACTGGACAAATGCTGGGTGGCACTACTGTCTCCTCCTCCTTGTAGGTGGAAACAGTTGCTAGTTGTGATATTTCTCTGACTTAAGCTTTGGGGACATACATGAAAGCTATATACTTTCCCAGATGAATAAGGGTCACACCGGCATATAAATAAGGCTTGAAAACCTAGGTAGCCATACTGGATTGCTTCTAAGCATGCCAAATAGGCCATGTCTATTTGGGCGGGGTGGACTAGAATCTAGACTCTGTATTCGTGCCACCAATGTGCTGAGAAATAGGCAGGTACAGGTCAGACGTTAGTCTAAGTTCCACTTGGAAGTGTAATAGGTAGAATAGGATCCAATCCCCCAGGGTCTCCTGTACTCTGCAGAATAACTAATTAGCCCTAAGTAAATGTATTAAAATGAGAGGCTCTGTTATATTGCTATAGCCAAGCTGTCTTCTCTGCACAAAACTCTAGGGAACTGCTTTCAGGAATTGTAAAAAAAGATGAGCTTAAAAAAGAAAAGAAAAGAAGTCAGTCCCATGGCTCTGGCAAATACATCAACCTAAACAGATACCTCCTGCACCAGATTATAGTCAGATTTTTTTCAAACAAAATTGTGTAAAAACTCATCTGTTATATTTGTAAGGGTCTTCACCTTGTTCAGGCCCTGTTTATGCAAATGCTTATATACATGCAGGTATCTGTGTGTGGCTGATTATCAGCTTGCATGACTGGGACTGCACTGAAAGTCAGCAGGATTCATGCACCTAGGTGGCTTAGGGAATGTCTGCGCTCACTTTAATCTAGGTATCTGGGGTACCAGTGTGGTGAATATGTGGTGGCATGGGCTTCAGCATAAGTGAGCCATCTGAGTCAGTGGGCAGGTCCCAGTGGTTTTACATAGTCTGCACTAAAGTCTGTGCTGTCATGTCTTCATTGCTATTGTTAGTTAAAATAGCTAGATTAGTGCTAGCTCAGGTGTACCCACACATGCTGCAATCGTATTATGCCTCCCAACTTCAAAGAAGGTATGTCTTGGGCCCTGGAAACCTCCCCCCTCCCACAGTTTTGTACTCATGTAATGCTCCCATTTTGAGTTCTTGATCATGCAAAGACTTGTTCATGCGGGTACTTATTTTCATAGAAATGTGGAAGTCCTTACAGGACAATTTTAATTGCATGTGCAAATGTCTGTAAGATTAAGGGCTAAGTCAATGGGAGGTCTGCCCTAGTAAGAACATATGGATTTGGCCCCATGTTTAGATTTTTAGAGGAAATCCATGCAGATTACACTTAACATATGGTAAAGTGTTATTTTTCTCCCCAAAGTATCACCATTATTACTTTACATTACTAACATCACTTCAGTTCTGAAAGTAGTCTGTCATTCCACCTCTTCTAACTCTTCAAATTTTTGTATTGACACACAATACATGGATGCATTAAGTCAATGGAAAAAGAGCATTACTGTACTCCAAGAACCACTGATGCATTTATCTAAGCACTCTGGATTAACTGCATGGGAAGTGCTGTGTACAGGCAGGGACATTTTATTTCCCTGCAAATTTCTGTCCCGTTTAAAATACCAGAGCCTTTGTTTTGTTGGGACTATTCTGCATGAGGGCTGCTGACAGACATGACCCCCTGCCCAACCCAACAAAAAACAAAAACGCCACACTTTACCAGAAGAGGCAGCACATTAGTTTAATCCTGCTCCACATCATATGTATAGATTGTGTACTTCAGCAGGGCTTTTTGGTGCTTTTATTTAAAGCTGATTAAATCATCTATTAGATAAATGCACCAAAAATCCCCACTGAAGAACCTGATCTATACAGATGTTGAGCGAGCTGGGCCAAAATACGATGCCTCGTCTGGGCATGTGCTGGTCCTGGCATGGGGGCGCACCAAGTTAAAAGTAAAGTGCCTTCTTTTTTTTCTTTTTTTTTAGGTCTGTAAGCAAAAAGAAGTTAAGACTTGATACTATACAGGTGTGTTCTGAAATTTCTACCAACCTCTGTATATGTGCTGTACTACATGTTGCTAGCAAAGGAAATGAGAAAATATTTTCTTAATTTAAAATCAGATTTTAAAAGCCCTCACATGCAGACTACTTTTTATAAAAGTCAGGTAAAAATTCAGTAATTAACAACCTGCAGTTATTCTTTTTACACCATGCCTGTGAATTCAGTAGTGCTGCTAAACTGACAGCTCTGAAGACACACATTTCTACTTGACCCTAATGAATTCCCCACTCTCATCTCATCATGCTGGTTTGATTTTGGAGTAATGTCCCTGAAGTTAGACATTGGGAAAAACTTTGTCATGAGGAAGGTAGTAAAGCACTGGAACAGGTTACTCAGAGAGGTTGTGGACTCTCCATCACATTTGAGAATCACAATTTTCCTTAAAGCCCTGAGGGCCTGTTTTTTCAGCATCTCCCAGGAGATCTGCATGGGTTCAGTGTGCTTGAAAAATCAAGTCATAGACTCATGCTACTTACTCTTTGAAGGCTTACCTGAACCTTCAGCAACCTGAACAAAGGCCACAGGGATCATGGCTAGAGCCCCTAGGGACAATGCTGAGAATAGCTGCTGAGTAAGGTTGGTGACTTCAATAGGGGGTCAGTGAGTGGAACTTCCTCACTGAAAAATGACTGGTACATTTGATAGGTAATTGTATGAAATTGCACAGCCAGGGTATGAGAACCTCTGTGTGAGGAACCCTCTAGCCTCTGCAGTAGACCTACACTGAAATAAAGAGATAGACACCAGTCTGTCCCTCTCCAAGAAAAACATAGTTTGGCCATTTTCACACTGGTCTAGGCATCAGACTGGAACCCCTCTCCTGTCTGCCCTCTTTTTAGATGGTGACTTATCATGAGATGTCGGGGTGAGCTTGTAGGGAAGGAATTTTGGGCTCCACAATTCAAAAAGGATGTGGAGAAGCTTGAGAGAGTGCAGAGAAGAGCCATGCGCATGATCAGAGGTCAGGAAAACAGACCTTATGACGACAGGCTGAGAGCTATGGGGCTCTTTAGCCTGGAAAAGCGCAGGCTCAGGGGTGATCTGATGGCCACCTATAAGTTTATCAGGGGTGACCACCAGCATCTGGGGGAACGTTTGTTCACCAGAGCGCCCCAAGGGATGACGAGGTCAAACGGTTATAAACTCCTGCAAGACTGTTTCAGGCTGGACATAAGGAAGAATTTCTTCACTGTCTGAGCCCCCAAGGTCTGGAATAGCCTGTCATCAGGGTTGGTTCAAGCACCTACATTGAACACTTTCAAGAGTAAATTGGATGCTTATCTTGCTGGGATCCTGTGACCCCAGCTGACTTCCTGCCCTTCGGGCCGGGGGCTGGACTCTATGATCTTCCGAGGTCCCTTCCAGCCCTAATGTCTATGAAATCTATGAAATATGCATGAGGTTCTTCTAGAAAGCTGAGTTTTCTCTGCTAGGCTAAGCCTAGGAAGCTGAGGCTTCAGGTCTGTGTGACTAATATAAATGAGGTTTTCTTCAGTAGGAAGATGCTGATGTTGGGAAGTATTTTCCAATCCTTGTAGCTGATTTGACAGGTGAAAAGAAGATGGCATACTATCCAGCTGTGGAGAATACACTTATAGCTATAAGGGAACAAATCTCTGCACTGTCAAAACTGCACTGTCTCCACTTTGTTCCAGAAGAATATCACCCAGATGGGAACAACCTCAAAATGCGAGGCATGTATATTCTGATGAACTGTGGCAGAAACTAGGGCACAGGTGGCAGGACATCAGCTTTGATACATCCCTGCAGCTGTAAATCGTGGCAGGGCTTTATGGACTCTCAGTTGCTGTTCTTGCTCCAGCAAACGCCCCTAAGAGAGGAGGGCATAAGGAAACGTCTTTGGTAGCAGACCTGGCTGATGCAGGAAACTTGATTTGCCTACAAAACAAGCCTGAAGTAGAGAGCATAGGTCAAAGAAGAAAGAGTCTAACGTACAGGGGTGCAGGAAATGAAAGGAAGATTAAGGCCTGAATCCTAGTATAGAGCAGCGGCGGTGTGGGAGTCAGCTGTACTATTTAGAATTCATGCAGTTCATTTCCTGGGGGCAAAATAAATAACACCCCTTTAAAGTCTGGTTGAGTTAATCTCCACCTCTCTATGCACTGGAGAATTTTAAATAGATATATATTGACTGGGTTTAATAAGTAGTAGTCCTTGTGAATGTCAAGGTGGATTGCCAGCTCTTACAGGGAAATGGGGAAAAGGAAAAGGAGCCCTGAGTTAACAACATGCCTACCAATTCCTGGACATTTATTCTCTGCAACCAATTTACAATATTACAAGAGATAGTGGTATGTCTGAGTTAACCATTTGCAGACTGAGAGCTGCCGTACTTAAAGGCATGAACTGATTTCTGTATCGTATCACCATGTTCATCACATCAGAGGGAAACTATTTTAGACAGCAGAGCAGCTCACAGGATAATTTGGGGTTACCTGTGTAGTATGTGGTACCAAACACTGAAAGATTCAGCTTTACAACTGCACTGGGAAATCTCATAAAAAGAAGAAATGGAACAAATTACAAATTACTCCAAGAACAAGCTCCCCAGCCACAAAACAGCCATCAGAGGAACAACACCAACACCGTACAACATTCCAACCTCAGACTTGATGAAACTGCAAGCAGCAACCGACCCACAAATATTATCAATCTCTCCACACACGCTTACCAAAACTGAAAAATCTGTCCTTTCTAAAGGCCTAAATTTCTGTCCAGAAAAATACCCTAATAAAATACTTCAATGTGGAGAACTAGAAGAATTCTTCCGA